CTTAGCGTCGGGTTACCATCAGATTGCAATAGCTGATGGAGATGTGCAGAAGACGGCTTTTCGTACACGCTATGGTCATTATGAATTTGTTGTGATGCCATTCGGATTGACGAACGCACCGGCAGCATTCATGAAGCTGATGAATGATGTGTTTCGTGAGCATTTGGATAAGTGTGTGATCGTGTTCATCGACAACATCTTGGTTTATTCTCGGAGCAGAGAAGAGCATGCAGAGCATTTGCGGACTGTATTGGGAAAGCTGAGAGAGCATAAGTTGTTTGCTAAGTTGAGCAAGTGCAGCTTCTGGCAGAGGAAGATTGGGTTTCTTGGTCATGTGGTTTCAGAGGCAGGAGTCGCAGTAGATCCAGAGAAGATTGCTGCTATTTCAGAGTGGCCGACTCCTAAGAGTGCTACAGAGATTCGCAGTTTTCTCGGTTTGGCTGGGTACTACAAGAACTTTGTTAAGGGTTTTGCCAGCATTTCAAAACCGATGACGAGACTAACAGGCAAGGATGTTAAGTTTGATTGGACAGATGATTGCTCCAAAAGTTTCATGGAGTTTAAGCGACAACTGACACAGACGCCGGTGTTGGTACTTCCGAGGCCTGGGATACCATATGAGGTTTACACTGATGCGTCGGGTACTGGATTGGGATGTGTATTGATGCAAGAGGGTCAGGTCATTGCTTATGCATCACGTCAGTTGAGACCTAACGAGGCTAATTACCCTACACACGACTTGGAGTTAGCAGCAGTTGTGTTTGCGTTGAAGATCTGGAGATCGTACTTGTATGGTGAGAAGGTGAAAATTTTCACGGATCACAAGAGTTTAAAGTACATCTTCACTCAGACGGACTTGAACTTAAGGCAGCGCAGATGGATTGAGTTGTTGGCAGATTACAATTTGGATATCGCTTATCATCCGGGGAAAGCTAATCAGGTGGCAGATGCTTTGAGTAGGCGCAGGAGCGATGTTTCAGGAACCAAGGAGGTTCAGGAGTTTACGGGTATACTTGCTAGTCTCAGATTGTGTGCCACCACGGTAGATGGAGAGACACCTGGTCTCGAGGCAGTTGAGCGAGCAGATTTACTTTGGAGGATACGCAGAGCTCAGAGGTGTTGATGAGGCTTTGTGTAAGCAGATTGAGATCGAGAGTATTGGGTATCACACAGCTTCGAGTGGGATGTTTATGTTCCGAAACCGAGTTTGTGTACCAGATGATGAGCAGTTAAGGAAGAAGATCTTGAAGCAAGCACATCACTCGAGTTTCTCTATTCATCCAGGGAACACCAAGATGTACAGAGATTTGAAGCGTTATTACCATTGGCCTGGTATGAAGAGGGATGTTGCTACTTTTGTATCGCAGTGCCAGACTTGTCAGATGGTTAAGGCAGAGCATCAGGTGCCTAGCGGGTTATTGCAAAACCTGCCATTGCCAGAGTGGAAATGGGACATGGTGACTATGGATTTTGTGACGGGTTTGCCGACCACCACAGGAAGAAAGAATGTCATATGGGTAATCGTGGATAGACTCACCAAGTCAGCTCATTTCCTCGCAGTTAAGAAGACAGACAGAGCTGAACAGTTGGCAGAGATGTATATCAGTGAGATTGTTAGACTGCACGGAGTACCTGTCAGCATTGTATCAGATCGGGATGTAAAGTTCACTTCTGCATTCTGGAGAGCCTTTCAAAAAACGCTTGGGACCAAGGTCCACATGAGTACCGCATATCATCCGCAGAAGGATGGTCAGTCAGAGAGGACTATTCAGGCATTGGAGGATATGCTCCGAGCTTGTGTTTTGGATTGGAAAGGTAGTTGGTTGAGGTACCTATCCCTAGCGGAGTTTGCTTATAACAACAGTTATCATTCGAGTATTCAGATGGCACCGTATGAAGCTCTTTATGGTAGACCTTGTCGTACCCCGCTTTGTTGGACAGAAGTGGGGGAGCGACGTGAGATAGAACCAGCAATGGTTCAAGAGACGGTAAAGCAAGTTGAGATGCTCAAGAGACGGCTTAAGGAAGCCCATGATCGCCAAAAGAGTTATGCATATAAGCATCGTAAGGATTTGGAGTTTCAGGTTGGCGACCTGGTATACCTTAAGATGAGGACGTTTCAGGGAAGATCTAATACTCGGAAGCTGAAGAAGCTGAAACCGAGATACATGGGCCCTTTTCCTATTTTGGACCGGATTGGAGCAGTGGCTTAAAGATTGCATTTATCAGCAGAGTTATCAGATTTCCACGATCTGTTTCATGTGTCAGTATTGAGGAAAGTCGTGAGAGAGCCAGAGCTCATTTTGCAGCAGCCGCCCAGTGATCTTCGTCGAGACTTATCCGCAGTTTGTCAGCCAGTGGAGATTTTCGATCGACAAGTGAGAGCGGATCAGGGGATGATGACCATGATGGTCAAGGTTCGTTGGGAGAGAGACGAGATCCAGGAGGAAACCTGGGAGTCTGAGCCGCAGATGAGGATTGATTTCCCAGAACTGTTTCGAGATGTTATCGGTCAGTCGACGCTAGACTCGAATTCGGGGACGAATTCCATATTAGTGGGGGAGAATTGTCATGACCCAAACCCACCCAATTCACAATTCCCAGCCCATTACCCAAGCCCATTCGTTTCAGCCAAAGGTAATTAATATAAAAACCCCCATCCTTCCCATTTCTTTCATTCATGCCTAGTTTTAGAGAGAGAGTTTGAGAGAGAGGCTTGTGTTCTTATAGAGAGAGAGTCACCAGAGCACCTCGCCAGAGCCACCACATCGCAAGTTCCCGTCCAGCTCGTCACCGCCGACCCCCAGCCTAGGTAACCACCGGAAACCACCACCATTTTAAGTTAGTTTTGATTCGTTTAGTAAAAAGTTTATAACTTCCTAACCGTTGAGAATCTGTTGCATGCAAGGTCACCATCGTGTTCTACTCGTCGAGACGAAGCCGTAGACCCCAAAAACGCCGCGATCCGACCCCGGAGCAGCCGTCACGCGCCCGTAGAAGTTGAGCCGCCGCCCGCGCGTGAAAACCACGCGCCACCGCATCATCGCCGGAGCCGCCGCAGCCGGCCGCCGGGAAGCCTCCGCCGCCGCACCTCCGCCGCGCCGCCGGTGACCGCCGGTAAGCCGCCGCATGGTTCGCCGGACCGGTGACCGGAGTCCGGTGACTCACCGGCGACTCGGTCGGGTTGACTCGGCGAGTTAACCGTTGACTCGGTCAACCGGTTTGTGCTTGGTCAAAATCGGTTATGTTTGGTTAGGGTTAAACCGGCGGTTAAAATCAATTAGAAATCGGTTAGGGTAAACCAGATTATTTAATTAATTGATTTTCGGTTAAGGATAAACCGAATTGAAATTGATTTGGTTTTGGTTCGATTGAAATCGAATTCGGTTAAGGAAAACCGGTTGGTCCAATTCGATTTCAATCTGGTCAAGGGTTGACCGGCTTGGGTCAAGGTTGACCGGGTTGATCTTTGACCAGCAAGTTGACTTTTCTGTAATGGCCCGTTTTCGCCCGTTCGAAGGTCAATCTGACTCGGAATTTCGATCTGATTTCAGATTTGGGATCTATTTAAGCAGCTGGAGTTCATAGAGACCACTTTTCCCCTGTTGCTAAGGTGAGGGTCTACTTCCGAACGATTCGTACACGACTTAGAATTTTAAATAAGTATAATTTATTTCTATTATGTTCCGTCTGCGTGAAATCGAGTCTGTCATTGCTTGCTTAGTTTTAGGTTATGTGCCTAAACCGGAACTAGGTGGTTAGATGGTTCAACATTGATTGATTCACTTAATGTAATTCATGTAGTTAGGAATTGTTTTGGCCGGATATAGTAAGGGACCTCTGTATGCCGGATTGTATGGGGGCTATGGACGACTGTAGTCGACCGGCCGGGTCGTAGTCTGTTATGGTCGATAAATCGTCTTCGGGCGGTGTGACTGGCCACTTAACCCAGCGTTTGGCCTGTTAGTGGGCAGCGGGTGTGCACCCCGCTAGGACCATTGTTTGTTTACTTGGGTACTTTAGGTACCGTGTTTGTACATATTAGATTTATTTTATATTTATTTGGAGTGCTATGTCCGGGCCTACGGACTTCGGGGTAGCATCCCATACCTCACTGAGCGACTCCCCTGTTGCTCACCCCTCTTTCTTCCCCTTGCAGGTGAGACCGATCAGCAGGAGTGATCATATCGGACCGGTGCTATTGGGCTTTTGGGCTTCTATCGCAATCTATCTTATCTTATCGTATTTTATCGTATTTTATCGTTTTGGGCTTATAAGCCTTTGGACTTTTATCGTTTATGTTGTTTCGTATTTTCAGACTTACGGTTTACGTTGATTATCGGTATTGTGGATGTTATGTATTGGGCCTTGGGCCGTTTTATGTTTTGAACTTATGTGGCATGGTTTATGTCGACTTTTAAGTATTATTATTAAATCCGATGTTTTTAGTAATTATTATTAATTATATTATTTTTGGAAGAATCAGGTGTCACATTTTATTTAACATAAAAAGATTGAGTTTCAACAAGAGTCATTTACATTTAACTTTTTATCCATTTTATACATTTGACTTTTAACCCATTAATGTATGACTTGAAATCTCATATGTTTGTTTCATGCTTTCTAGTGGTTGTCAGTGTCCTATTTATTACGTATGTTTTCTACAACTACAGCTCTAACGAACTTCAAATCTCTCTTCCCTTAAGAAAGTTTATGATAAGTATAACCTAATGTGTATAAGATGATAGTTCGAAACCTTAAATGATGACACGTTTGATCTCTTGATATAGTTTAGTCGCTCATTTTTTTCCTAACGCTAATCCGGAACTCCAGTTGAGTGGAGATGAAAGGCTTGGATATGTTTTGAGGCAAGATTACTTATTATCAGTACCAGTAACCAGTCAAGATTACTTGTTCGAAATAGTAGGATATGATTTTGAGGAATTTGTATACATTAAAGGGAAAACGAATCAGCAAATAGAAAACAGAGCAAATTCTCATTCAAGCATGTGGTTGATAGGAGAAGCCATTAACAGTGAAACCTCCATCAACACAAATGGTTTGACCAGTGATATAAGAAGCTGCAGGCAGACACAAGAATACCACTAACGATGCAACGTCATTGGGCTCTGCAGCGCGACCCAGTGGAGTTCTATTGAACAATCCTTCCTTGAAACCAACGCTGTCAAGATACTTTAAGAAACAAAAATTGACAGATGATTCGATTGTTAAATTCAAAAAAGAGAAAAACATGTAAACCAATTGTCTTTCTTTTACTTACAGATTGAGACAGAGGAGTCCTTATAACATTAGGCGCAACAGCGTTTGATCTTATACCATCTTTTGCCCATTCACAAGCCAAATTTCTAGTTAGCTGATTCAAAGCTCCTGTAGAATAAATAACCAAAACATTAAAAAAAAACTCTTTGTTGATGATTCAGTCTTGAACCGCATCTAGTACTAACTCTAGTTACCTTTTGTTATGCCATAAATTGATCCACAGTCGACTGATACAATTCCTGCAGCAGAGGAAATAAAGATGATGCTTCCATAGCCTGATGCCTTTAAGAGAGGATGTGAAAGCTGGGAAAAATGGAAAGCAGCTTCTAAGTTTGTTGAGATGTGGAAAGTGAAATCCTCTGCAACATATTCTGTTGTTGGCTTCCCACGAAGTACGCCCACATTGTTCACCTACGTTGAAGAACAAGACGGTTTTCTCAAGTTCTCGTAACTGTTTCTATAGTAAGATCATTTACTTACAAGAATGTTGAGTTTGCCATCGAATAGCACGGAGACTTTTTGTATCAAAGTTTCTCTACGAGGACGAGAGGTTACATCACAGATTGAGCCACTCACTTGAAACCCTTTCTTTTCCCATTCGCTTAAACTTTGATTGAGAAAAGTTTCAGAGATGTCGCATACATGGATTCTAGCTCCAAAACTAGCTAACTCTTCTACTATGGAATACCTAAACGTTCCGGAAACATAGATTTCTTGAAATCTTGACCATTCATAACGTTAATTAGAAGTAGAAAATACAAAAATAGAAAGACGAACCCGACTCCGCTGGCCCCACCCGTTACAAGAGCAGTCATACCTTGAAGACTCCATCTTTTATCCATTTTCGTTTGCCTGTGAGTAGCAAGAGATAGCCACAAGTGACTTAGACTGACTTTTTTTTGTCAATAATAACTAGAAGTACTCGAAAAACAAGAAGAACTAGATTTTGAACCTGCACGTCCGTGCGGGTATTTTTTCATTTTATAAAAATATAACAAAACCTTTCAAATATATATGATTTACATTCTATTTTTATTTATTGTATAATTGTATAATCTTATCATTTAAACTATTTTTATATAATGTATTGTTGTAAGTTTTAAAATAAAAAAATATTCATATATAATGTATTTGTTGTGAGTTACAAAAAATACATGTTAACATTTTTGTAGAAAAATATTATATGATTTAAAAACTTTAATATGTTTTAAAAGTGAGAGATATTTATTTATTTATTTGATTAAAAAAAATTTTAAAATAAAATATTTTCCTTTACCCATTTATTTTATATTCATTTCACATAACATTTTATTTTAATATAATATAGAATATAACTAAATTATAAAATATAACAATTTTTATTTTTAATTAACATTAATATAGATATTTATATATGTTAATCACGAAATTAAATAATGCATACTTTATAAAAATATTTAAACTTCTTAGTAAGATCTTGTTAGATATTTTCTCAACAAATTTATTACTAATATCTTATTAATTATTAAAATATTTCTTCAATTATATATATTTGATTGATTAATATAAATAATTTAATATGTCATATTAATGAGATGGTCGAACATGACTTTTTTGTAGTAGATGTAAATGGTACTTCTCTTTTAATAGAGAACTAGCTTTTGACCCGCGTGCCCGCGCGGGTATTTATTCTTTATAATCATATATTTTTAATTTTTGAAAAGACAGTTTTAATTGTTTATATATATTATATTATAGATTCATATGTTATTTGGAACTAACATTGATGTGTCTTATTCACTGTGATTAGTCTTTACTTATAAACTATGAGAATGTATTTTTCTTTTATTGTATTTTTATTTAGTTTACTTGGCAAAGTAAGCACTAAAATGTGAGAGTTTTTCTATATAAAATTCAATTTTTTTGAGAATTTAAAAAACAAATAGATTATTTAGAGAAACAAAAATATAATGAAACCAAGTTAAATAATATTTGAGCCTAAAAACTATATTCTAATGGATTTCATTAATGGGTTATCTTTTTTTAAATTTTATAAAAAAAATTCTTGCAAAAATATATTTTTTGTGGGTCAGACGGGTCAAATTTTTCAGTCGAAAAAATGACTCAACCCGCTACGGAGCGGGTTGGAAGGGGCGGGTCGGACTGAGCGATTGAAATTTTGTAACTAAATGATTTTACAAATTAATCACAAAACTAAAAAAAAAATTGGACCATTTAATTGTTAAATATACAATCTTTCTTAAGTACACATTTCAGGTACAACTATTGTTAACTTATTTAGAAACATAAAAGAATTGTTTGAGACGTATAAAATAAAAATTTATTCATACCCGCATAATAACTTGATCTTGATTCTGTGATATTTTATATCATCAAAGCAAAAAACTTATCAATCTATTTGTAGATAAAACAACAAAAATAATATTCGTGATTTTTAATCGCAGATCAAAAATTTAGTGTATTATTATAATATACACGTTTTGATGGTGTCATAGTTCAACTAATATTCAAAACATAAAGCTTTTTAATTTACAATCAGATTTTGGGCCTCAATAATTATTATTGATCATCATATTGTTAATGGGCTTGCTGAAATCCACTAATTATAATGAAAGTTTTGGCAGATTTAATGTTAGGATTGAGTGGCATTGATCAGTAATTATTATGCAGAAGAAAGGGTTAAGTACTTTTTGTACTTCCCTTTTAATAAATTAGAGATAAAATGGTAGTTGAGTATTGGCTAATATGGCTATCGCACGTGAATTTTGTGACAGAAACGTAGAAAATTATTGGTATTAATGATCACTAGATCTTAAGCCGCGCAACCGCGTGGGTGTTTAGTCTCAATTTTGTGAATGTATAAATCTTGTTTTTACATTACTGAGAAAATATTCTTAATATTAAACACATTTTCAAAATATTAATATAACTTTTACAAACACAATAATGTTATAGTTTTATGTATGTCATCTAATTAGTTGTCTTAAACCATCACATTTATTTGCAAATTATTATTACTGCAAATCTCTCAAATAAACTTTTTTTTTATTTTTTATCACAAAATAGATTTCAAAAACTAAAATGACCAAAATCACATTTTTTGAAATTTTAAGTTTTTTTAAAAAAAATTTGAAAGTCTGCCTCCAAAGAATATAAATGTATATATAATTATTTTTTATAAAATATTAAATCTATTTTGGTCATTTTTATTTTTAAGGTCTATATTTGTGACAAAAAACTTTTAGGTCTATCCTAGAATTTTTTCTTATTATTATTACTATATTTTTTATTTCATTGGGCTAAAATTTGATTATTAGGCGACTTAATATATATAATTAACTGATTTGGTATATATTTTGTATTTAACTCATATATTATTTAAATATCATATCTAAGTAATAAAAATAATTAACGAATTTAGTAATTTATTTGAAATTTATGACAATTTTAAAATATTCAAATACACTTATTTCAAATATATAGAATTAGTTTTTTATAGATATGAAATGAAGTATTGAATATTAAAATTAATAACATTAATATATGTTAAAATATGTTATATTTGAAGGTTTATTATTAAAACATAATAAAAGGCTTGGAGTTGTTATAGGAAATTTGAAGGTTTATTATCAAACATTTTGAAGGTTCATTTTTATAAATGAATAAAAGGCTTGGAGTTGTTATAGGAAATTTAAATTGATTCCGTGTATCTCAATTCTTTTAAAATTTAAAAAAAAAAATATGAGAAGAAAAAGAGGATTTTGGTATGCTAAGATGGCGATTTCTATTTGTTGCATAATCAATACTCTTTTATGGATTTTACATTGGTAAGATTTAGTTGTATCTATTTTAAATGATAGATCACGATTTTGGAAACTCTATGAAAGACTTACATATACTAAATTTTGCGTGCCTTTTTTTACGGAATTTGGGTGCTTGTTTTGGTATTTCAAATATTCTAATAAAGGAAATTTAATTAATTTTGCCTTTTATTTTAGTCATCAAATTTGCTTAGTTTGATTTTATATTGGGATCTCATTTTGGACATGACATGTATACAATATGGTATAAATATATGCAGCATGTAAGTTTCTTGAGTATATAAAACAGTCATGTTATGTACAGATTAAATGATTTGCTATTGTCATGTGTATAAGTAGAAAGAGATAGGTTGCATTTTTTCTTTGTAACACAGAGATAGGTTGCATATCATATAGGTTTATAATATAAACAGTTTTGTGTGCAAATACTAATATGCTAAATCGTTACAAAGTTACCTTGAACCGGTTTGTTTAGATGATGAATAAAAAGGGTTAATGACTTGCATGTTTATACTTGTTTCTAAATATCTATACTATTAAAACACAAGGCCCTTTTTTTAAGTCCCCTTGATTTTTGGAAGTATTTACAGATCTTTGCCACTGCATTATTTAAACCTATAGTTTTTATCTATTATTTTTCCACCAAATCTTTTTCCAACAAAATATCCTTGATTATCTCTCCATTTTAATTTTAATAAAAATATTATGTCATTGATTTAAACTACAAAATCAACATTCCTAAACTCTTAGGTATATAAAGGATACTTTTTCAATTGAATATATTACCAATATTCCACATACATCTCACGCAAATGTTTTAGAAATATAGTTAATGTCGGGTATTTTATTAGACAATATGATTTTTTGTTGACTTAATTAAAGTTGTATGTATACTACTATATTTTGTATTTTCCCAAACGATTGTTTGGTTTGGTTAATGATTAAACACATATACTACTACCATACACAAAACTGAATACAAATTTGACAAATGAATGTATACACAAAACCAAAGACTTACAAACATAATTCTATGCACTTGATTATAGCACACTCGGGTTATTAATAGATGTCAACCTTTTTATGCAGATAAATGAAATTCTAGCCATGTTAAAAAATGAAATTTTAGCCGCAGCAGAAAAGTAGACAAGAGTAAAATGCTAATTGGGTCTATCTATGGAATTGGGCTGGTTTAAGAGTAAACCAATGATTATTGGTATAAATAACGAATGGGTTTTTNGACATTAATGATAGATTGAAAGATTATTGGGCTGGTTTAAGAGTAAACCAATGATTATTGGTACAGATATCGAATGGGTTTTTTAATTTGTGATAAATTGACATTAATATTAGATTGAAAGATTTATGTTATTCTCGGTGACAAAATTTAATTTCTAAAGTGTAAGTTGGTTTTAGTAGTCAGTGTCAATTTCAAATTTGTATTCATGTTTTAATAGTTCAAATGTTTATGAAATACCAATGTAAAATTTGAACTTTATATTCACTTTAAATTCCAATACTCATATTTTAATTTCATAAAACCCACTAAATATACTTAAAACTCTAATAGATTACACTTTAATGTTTACTTTACTAACTAAAATGAATAAAACGATAATAAAAAGTACAATCTTATAGTTTATAAATGGATTCTAAACACAATAAACAAGATACAAATATGTAAAAATTCAATAAGGTATGAATTTAAAAGAGAACATAAAAATTATGTTTATGTAAACCATTACTAGGTTTCACTATTTTCCTCCCTATTAATTAACCTAACAAATACTATTTGTTATTAAATGCATCTTTGATTGAAAGCATATATTATTTGGAGTATTTATTTTAGAAAGTGAATATTTGTTTATCAAGTAACAATAAGTATTTCACATCATAAAATAAAGTTTTTATAATTAAACTTCTTAAATTTTTTGGTTACAATTAAAATCAAATAAATACACCAAATTATGATTCTTTCAATATATATATATATATATATATATATATATATATATATATATATA